GAGCTTGAACATATCAACTAAAAGTGAGGAAAACAGATAGATCTTGACATTTCTTTGTTGCCAGAAAGAATTGGTTGCATGTAATAAACTGTTTCAAGTACTTGCTTTATTTCTATCTTGGTATTCACAAATCTGAGCACTCTATAGCCTTAGAATGGGAGCACTGATCAGAGTATCAAACTAATTGTAGTAAGACACCCTAACCAAAATGTGCAGTTGGACTAAACACTTTCTAGTAATGCAAGGGAATGCAGATGGAATGTCAATATAACTAGAAGGAACCATCTAGCTTCTTAAAATTTTTATTGCCATATTTTTGCTTTTGGATTAAATGCAATTTCTGCCAATGTAAAGTATGATGATTTAAATGGAAATTATCTTTCAGAGTACTAGTCACATTCCTGACAATGCAACAATCTTAAGAGAATTTTCACCATTTGTAGATCACATCTTTGTGTACTGGCTCTGTCCCTCGTCCTGATAAAAGGCAGTCTATTCTCAAGCTAGTCTCATTTCACTGCATGTTAGCTGTAGGGTTTGGTTTATTTACTACATATCAGGTTAAGAAACTTTCTTCTACTTCTGTGTTGTATCATGAGTGGGTTTCTCCCTATAAGTGGCCATGACTTCTTTTATGCTTGTGTGGTGAATTAGGTGGCAAGCCTAGAATTGACCAAACAGTTCAGCCTCTGTCAAACCTACCATACAATTTATGGTAGTTTCAGGCATTAGTAGGTTTTCTCTCTATACACTAATGTGTGAAAATATACACACAAAATTTTAAATATAAGTTTGAACTTGGTTTTATTTATTTTAAAACATTTTCATTGTAGGTATCACCATTTTCTCTGTTGGTGTGGCATGGGCACCTCTGGACGATCTGAGAGACATGGCCTCTAAACCAAAGGAATCACATGCTTTCTTCACAAGAGAGTTCACAGGATTAGAACCAATTGTTTCTGATGTCATCAGAGGAATTTGTAGAGATTTCTTAGAATCCCAGCAGTAATGACATTTTGACAACTGAAAGAAAAATGTATAGTGTATTCCTGTAATGCTACAATAATATATAGTTTACTAGGAATAGATACAAACCTGTTAAAGAAGTCAAAAGTTGTTTTAGGCAAACAAGCATTCATTTAAAGCTACTTTCTAATTACAATTTAGACTCAATTGTTTAAAACATTCTGTTGAAGCTTCATAATCATGACCTTTAGACACTCAGGAAAGAAGAGATATTGTGGATTAAAATATTAGTTCTAACATGCCTACTAAATATATACACAAATTTCATAGCTCAATAAAAGAATTTGATACTTAGAATATAAGCAATATTCCTTCTCTAGTCATTTGTATTAAATATAAGGAAAAAGCTTAAACAGAAAACATTTTCACTCAAGTAGATGCTGTCTTAAAATCAACAAAAGCTATTACTCAATATGCAAAAAGGCTGTAATTTGATCAAACTGCTTCTGTAGTATCCATTAATAGCTGAACAAGATAGCAGGATTGCCTGGTATTTTTCTATTTATATCTTCAATTTTATATGTGTACAGACTTTAAAAGTCATCTATACACTTAAAAAAAAAGTTAACTGGTCAACTTTTACTTACCACTTACACTTTCAGAAAATTAGCTTTCAAAAAAAAAGCCCCACCTATTTCAAATAGCAGACCTGCAGGAAAAAATACTGTAGTTGAATAAACAATAAAACTGCTAGTGACTAGTATTCTAAGATGCTTTATTACTCCCAACATCTCTTTATAGGGCATGGTAAAAATTCTTACTCTTATTTGAAAAAAACTCTGCCTTAAGGCATGCAATAAATGTATTTCCTTTTTTATTGTTCTAGGATTTACACAATTGCTACTCAAATTGCACAAGATATTTTTTATTACTTGGGCTCAACAATGTTTTGTAATGAACAGTATTTTTACTTAAATGTGCTTATGAAGATGGTTTCCAAAAACTGATCATTAGATCTCCTCTAATGGGACTTCACCAAGAACTTCCCTCAAATGGAGGTGTTCTTCATCCCACCCGATCTTGCACTGACAGAACCTATCCTTCCCCCTCAGCCACCTGTGTATTTTTTTCTCCCTTTACATATACACTGACCCAAAATGAAATGCTGTATAAAGTTAACCTACCCAAAAAAAAAACAAACACTCCAGGAAAACTTTTGAGTTAATTCTATTGTCTGTGTAAAAGGAATAAACTGAAATTGCCTCTAAACCACACAAAAATTAAGTTTGGAAGACCAACACTTCCCCCTTTTAATTATGTACTTATTTTTAAGACTTTATTGGTAAATGCAAGAATGAGAGGGTGAGGGGGTGAGAAAATTCACTAGAATGGGGAGTAGAACAGGTTGATCTACTGAAATACACTAGAAACAGTGGGAAAGACAGGAGAGATCTGCTTTGCTGTGGGCTTGCTCCCTAGTGTCCAACTGAAGGCAGGATCGAACTCAAGATGACAGAATCTATGGCACAGGGACTGGCAATAACTTAATAGTGCTGAGAGGTTCAGCCTTGCAGAAATTACCACCTTACTCCTCCCTTTTAAACTGCAGCTATAAATTGATACAAAGCAGAATTTCATTAAACAACAGCTACACTTAGCTGAGTACCCCTTGAAAATTTACACTGAAATGAAAACCCAGTCTTCAGTTATTAGCTTTCTTTAAATTTATTTATGCATACAAGAACTGGGGTACAGGCCAGTGGTGCAGAGAGTGAAGGAGTCATCAGACAGAGTGGGGAGCAGAACAAGCAAAGTGACTGAAATACACTGCTGAAGGGAGCAGTGGACAGGTCAGAAAAAGTCTGCCACACTATGTGGGTCACTTCCCTTGCCAGGATGGAACTCATGCTGCAGCGGCTATGACAGCTTCATACTGCTGTGGTTTAACATGCTACACCACCAGCGAGGGCCCAGTTACAAGCAAAAAAGATTCTCTTTAATTTTATAAAGTGGGGCCCTCCCTGGTGGCGCAGGGGGCTGGGATGCAGCACTGCAAGCCACCCCGATGGCTTCACAGCGAGTTCAATCCCCACCCCCCAAGGTGACCCACAAGGCACAGCAGACCTCTCCTGTCTCACCCTCTGCTCCCCTCAGCAGTGTACTTCATCAATTTTCATTGATCTGCCTGTTTTGCTCCCTACTCTGTTTCTGGTGAATCCTCTCACTGCCCCTGCACCTCTGGCCTGTACCCCAATTCTGTATGCATAAGTAAATGAATCTTCAAAAAAAATTCTATAAATTACTGTATTTTTGTAAGTGAACAGTCAAAATAAAAGAAGGGAGAATAAGAAAATTAAAAAAAACACTAACTTCAGCAGGTATGCCTAATTTCAAATTATTTCGCTTATAAACTTCATGCATTCAATGTATGCTGGTTTTCAGTGGATAATTTAATTGAAATTTTAGAAAAGTACACAAATGAGTAAGAGATTCTGATTAAATGTTGACAAAGTCAACAAATTTAAGGGTGCATATAAAAAATAAAGCAGTTAGTTTAATAAGGAGCTTCCAAATGACCCAGCAATCCCACTCCCCAAAGGACACAAAAACACTGATTCAAAAAGACACCTGCACCCCATGTTTACTTACTGCTGCTTTATTTACAACTGGAAAGACATGGACAACAGCCCAAACGCCCAAAAGTGGATAACGGGATTAAAAAGATGTGGTATGGGCCCTCCCTGGTGGTGCAGCGGGTTAAAACACAGCACTAAGAAGCTTAAGCCAATTCTGCATGAGTTTGATCCCTGCCTGCCCCGTGACCACATGGCGTGGCAGACCTCTCCTGACCCGCCCGCTGCTCCCCTCAGCAGTATACTTAGTCAATCTGCCTGTTCTGCTCCCCACTCTGTCTCTGGTGAATCCTCTCACCCTCAGCATCTCTGGCCTGCACCCCAGTTCTGTATGAATAAATAAATAAATCTTAAAAAAAAAGATGTGGTACATATATACAATGGAATATTACAGCAAACACATATGGCTTCAGGAGTATAACGGACCAGATGAGAAGATAATAATGAACAGTTATATACCAGAGACATTTTATGGGCATGTAGTGGGGAATGGGATCAAAAACAGTGGGGGGAAAGAAAAGCACTGGACTGTGGTGATGGCACATGGGTGATTTGGTGATGGGAAGCCCACGGAGATTACAACCGATATGGAAGAATGCACAACATGATGTAAGAATAAACTATTATTTAAAAAAAAAAAAAAAGCACTTCCTGGTGTTGCAGTGGGTTAAAGCACAGCACTAAGAAGCTAAAGCCACTTTAGTATGAGTGCGATCCCGGACCCAGAGGTGATCCACATGGCGCAGCAGATCTCTCCTGACCCACCCGCTGCTCCCCTGAGCAGTGTACTTTGATGATCTGCCTGTTCTCCCCACTCTGTCGCTGGTGAATCCTCTCACCGCCCCTGCAAGTCTGGCCTGTACTCCAGTCTGTATGCATAAATAAATAAATCTTTAAAAAAAAAAAAAAGGCAGTTATTTAGCAGTCAAATACCTATGTAATTCCCTGTCACAGATGGAAGTGCACAAATAAAGACTTTCTTTCTGCATTTAGTATCTTCCAAATATTTACATATAGAGAAAAATTTAACAAAAGCAGATAAAAATAAACATACATAGGGCCCTCCCCAGTGGCACAGTGGGTTAAAGCACAGCACAAAGAAGCTTAAGCCACTTCCGCATGAGTTCGATCCCAGCCTGCCCTGGAGGAGATCCACATGGCGTGGCAGACCTCTCCTGACCCGCCCGCTGCTCCCCTCAGCAGTGTACTTCGTCAATCTGCCTGTTCTGCTCCCCACTGTCTCTGGTGAATCCTCTCACCCTCTGCATCTCTGGCCTGTACCCCAGCTCTGTATGTATGAATAAATAAATAAATCTTTAAAAAAAATAAATAAACATACATACTAGTTTTTATTCAGCTTTAATACATACTGACAGAAGTGAATGTCTATGCATTGCAATGATGAGTTACATTTCAGTTAAATAGTAATTATTACTTTCTAATAGCTGCCAGAAACAGTACTAGCTGTGAAAAAGTTCAAAAGAAAACGCCTTTTTGTTTATTCACATTTTAGTTCAGAATACCCTAAAATGGCTATTTTATGAAAATTTATTAGCAGTAAGCATAACTGCCATTTGGATTTTTATGGTAAATGAAAACTTTATGTACATACAATGTAAATTTTTTTTTTTTGCAGCAAGGATTAGGGATTCAAGTAGAATTTTTCACCGAATTTTTCTATTGTTACCTTCTAATTCCACTTGCAACTTCCTTCAAAATAAAAGGATATTATTTTATTGAAGAAAAACATTTCAAGATACTAATCAAATTTATACAGGCAGCTTTTATTTAATAAAAAATGCAGTTTATTCTTTCCTAAATTACTTTGTGGAAAAAGCTATGACCAGATAGGAATGACAACACTATTAACTAAAAATCATATTTAATAAATATCTAAGGAAATGATTTACAACAGTATCTTTGCAGGAGGTTTTTTGTTTATTTTGCATTATCTAACTTATTTTGATAAATTTTTAAATCCCAAATGGGGTGAAATTTAGAAAGGCTTTCTTAATAGTGTTAATTATTCTAGTTTTATTAGGATATCAATAAGCAGTGCAAAGTTTAAAAGCATAAAAATGAAGGACTCACTGAGAAATTATCTCCATTTCCTAGTTTAATGATGGAGAGTAAAGTATTGCACTTTATTATTCAAGACAAAATAATGTAGCCAACAGTAACATACAGGTACACAATTTAATATTTATTATATGCATTTTATATACATTATTTTTCAACAGTTGTGTGTTAGCTAAGTGGTACAATCTTAAAAATTTGCTGATTTCATAGTTTGTAAAACAAAAACCTTACAAAACTCATCAAAACTCGCAAACTGATCAGAAAAGTTTTTTGGAAGACTAGAAAAAATACTTTATTGTTTTAACCATGCATTACACAAACAAAATCTTTAGTTACACCATAAAATTAAGCACATCTGAAAAAATAAAACAGGGTAACTAATCCAAACACAGCAGATTTCTGTATCCTGATTCAACTATTTTTTAAATCCTATTTGTAATGCAAATAAAGTTTTATGCCAAATATTTTTAAACAAGATAGTTTTGTTTGGAATCATGGTAAACCAAGATACTTAAGGGGGAATCACCTTGGTTTGTTCTTTAAACTATAAAATATTCCATTTTTTAGTCTATTTTAGACTATTCAAGAATTCCAAAATAGATATACAGGTTCTTTTTTTAGCACATTAATAAAAGGATATAAAGACTGACAAAAAGTGAAATAAATAATAAGCTATTAGCAAGATGGATAATCCTTGATAAATAAACTTGTAAATACAGTAAGATGTACAAAATATCACATAGTGATAGGATGCCAAGATTAGCTTTTTTTTTTCTTTTTAAGAGTTCATTTGGAGTACTAAACCCCATTGGTTTCATTTTAATACACTTAATAGTCCTTGGTTTATAAAGAAGACAAATAGTGATGATGAAGATGATTTAGCATCTCTATGGAAGGACTTAGCTGAGCTGTATTAGGCAAAAGAAGGAAAAGGTGTGGTTACACGGTAGCGGGTCAGTGAGATTTCTGTGTTTTAGGGTTGTATTAATGCAGAAAAACTTCAATACAATCTTGAGCACTGTAGTGACAGGCTAAATATATAAAAAGACTTATAAAAACTAGAATTTTATCCAAACATTTTGTGCAACTAATGCTAAAATATTTTAAGTTAAATTTTCTTTTTCTTTTTTTTTTAAAGCAAAATAAGTTTAAAAGGGAATCTGTGGCATTCAACTGATAAACAGAAGATCACTAGGAGATGAAAAAAAGCTACTCTTGGAGCTCACTTCCCCCCCCCCTCCCCACAAGAGCACCACTTTCCTAACCCTAAGGCAGCACACAGAGTCCAAAATAAAAGTCTTTTTGTAAGATCAGACTCCACACTGGCTTAAAGATACCTAAAAAACAGACATATGCTCAGTTCATACCCATTATAGGCCACAAATACTGGAGTCCCTTTTTAGTCCCACAAAATACAGCAATTACAATTAAATTAATGAGCCTGACATTTAGATGTGATTTCTACCAATTTATGCCTGCCCCAAATAGCCTTCCCTAGGTAGAACACATGTAGTGTCATATCAGTAACCTTTCATATCGATGGCAGTGATGCAGACCCTCTTTCTGTCCAAGTAAATCAGTTGTTAGGATGAGTTTTGGCTGATTCACACAAATACTTTGGCAAGGGCGTCAGCCCCTGCACTGGCAATATATGCTTTTGATGGATGGAAAGCAACATCATAAATCGATTCATCTAATTTCTTCCTATGTACTGTTATTTCTTGCACACATGTCTTGCTGTCTAAATTCCACAATCTAATAGAACAGTCATGGCCTGTAAAAACAAAACAAAAAACAAAGCATGTTAATGAGTAACAATTCCTTTAAAAAGTTTGTGGGCAGTAGAGAAAAGTTCACACTTACTTCCAGACATCAAATAAATTCCATTAGGATCTACTGCTAGACTTGTAACAGCATCCAAATGAGCTACCATAGAATGGATCATTTTACCTAAATAAAACATAATAAAAAGATGAAGTTTCAACAAAGTTACTAACTTGAGAGATCAGAAACCATTGCACAGCATCAACATATACCTCCCTGCACACTGTTACAAGCCAGTATTACCTAAATAAAACAACTTTTGAAACAATCACTATAGCAATAATTTTTAAATTATGGTAAAATAGACATTAATTTATCATTTAATTCATCTGTAGGGTACAATTTGGTGGCTTTTAAAACATTCACCATGATGTGCAGTCAGCACCATCAGTTATCTAGTTCAGAACATCCTCATCACAGAAAAGGAAAACTTCTACCCGTTAAGCAATCTGTGGCCAACTTGACAGGACCTCAAGTGCACCTGTCCGCCCTGGCTAATGTTGTGCACGGGTGAGCACACTCCCCAGTATGGCCAGTGAACAGGGTGAGCACACTCCCCAGTATGGACAGCAAACAAGTCAGCAGAGCACAGTGCACTTTGTCCTGCAAATAGCTGCAGCCCACTACTTTGTTTCAAGCAGACACAAGAAGTCCCTGGCCCGGTACAAACATGCACCCCACTCCTTGAGTGGGGCACATTTCCTGTTTTTCCCTGCAAGTACAGAACCTATATATACCCATGGCGGTCCTAATAAACAGACTTCGGACTCCAGACCCGAGGCTCCTGCTTCATTCTCTCACATCTCCGAGATGTTCTGGTCAGCGCACCCCTTGGTTTCTGGTCAGCGCACCCCTTGGTGGGTTAGCAACAGCAATCACTTAATTCTCCCTCCCTGAAAACCACTAATCTGCTTTCTATCTCTTTAGACAGCCTTATTCTGGATGTTTCATGCAAATGGGTCATATAGTAATGTGGTCTTTTGGGTCTGCCTTATATTAGAATGTTTTCTAGGTACATTCACTGTAATTTAAAGAGATTTTTAACGCAGAACTTTCCCTGTTACTCCTAAAATAGGCGTCCGTGTAACATGAGCTTAAAACAATATGGTTGCCTCAAAGACTTCAGATTTTATTTTAAATTGAAATTAAGACCTCCCTGGGAGGGGGGGGGGGCTCAACAAGTTAAGTCTCAACACTATGAAGCCACTGCAGCACAAATTCAATCCCCTGGCCAGGGAGTTGACCAACATGGCACAACAGAACTCTCCTGTCTTGGTGGCTGTTGCCCTCAGCAACATATTTCAGTGTTCTGCTCCCCACCCTACCGCTGGTGAATCCTCTCACCCACCCACACCTCTGGCCTACACCCCAGCTCTTGTACACATAAATAAATAAATCTTTTAAAAATAAAGAAATAATAGAAATGAAAACACAGTTTATTAAGAGTCACAGATTATCTTACATATAAAGTTAGTGATAAATGTATCACTAGAAAATATATCCCTACCTAAAGTTGCAGTGACATCAAGTTCTGAAGTGACACTCAATACATTAGAAATAAGAAGAAAGAGGGATGGGTGCACAACAGAAAAGTTATTCTGGATTTCTCCAGACATGAACAAATACACTAAGCTTGAAAAATGTAGCTGAATGAATATTTTCACTTAAGATTTGACAAGCAAATGAGCTTCAACAGCAAGCTGAGATTAAAAAACTGCTAGACAAATCTGTACTGCACAAATACTTTGGGACAAGGGTACTTGCACTGGCAGGAACTCTTTGACATAACGTCATAATCTGATCCATCCAAAAAGGGAATAAAATAGCAAATACCGGCGCTTTAAAAATTTCCTCCACTTTTATTCAGCAATGAGTCTTTATTTAAAAAACCTGGGCTACTCTCCTAATTCTTTAAATTATAGTTGCAATCATTGATCATTTTTCCTGTGCTTTTTGTTATCTGCCAGGTGCTACAGTTTTTCATCTGAATACAAAACCACAACATAGTAAAATGTGTAGAAAGTTACTCTGAAAAACATAAAACGTCATATGACTTTCTGGCAGTACTAACACTTCTACGTTGAGGATAAAATTATAGCCGTGTGTTTGAAACCACATTATCAGTTTCTCTTTAACAGTAAAATTAACAGTAATATTAAAGATTATTTTCTACTAGCCAGAGAATAGAAAAATCATTCAACATACTACCTAGCCTCAATGGCTTTCTCCAGAGTTGTTCACATCAATTCTAGAATACATTCCCCTCAGTAATTCCATTAAAAAAAAAAAATATATGGCAATATGAAATGTTTGAACTCTCACACAATAATCTCAAAACATGAGATTAAATGCCAATCACCATTCCCTTAAAATTCAAATCTATGGTATCTCAATTCACAGATTTAGCTCTGACTTAGCTCCTGAGAATAATCCTGTAACTGCTAAATTTAACCAGAGTTCGTCCTCCCTGGTGGCGCAGCGGGTTAAAGCAC